ACTGAGCTAGCTAGGAAACGGCTAGCCCTAGAGGCTCCCGAGACTAGAAACTGAGCATCCCATGGCTAAGAGCTCGAGAACCAAAAGATCTTGATCAACCATACCTCGGTTGGCAGAAGGTTGAGGACGCAGAGGCATAGCCCAACTCGGCACGCGATAGCCCGACCAACCATGCCTCGCCCAGCAAAAGAAATGCACAAGTATAAAGAACGCACAACAACAACAAGACACACATACATGGTCAACAAAAGTAACTTATATTCAAATATGAAAGTGGTCTGCTACATTGTTTAAGGCTCGGCATATTGAGCCGATATAAAAAAAAAGAAGGGAGAGAACCCAACATAAAGAAAAAACACAACTTGGAAGAGATAGCCGCTCAATCCTCGGCGGCAAAGCTAGCAGCCCCTTCAGTAGCGTCAACCTCGTCCCCGACCCCTTCGTCGGCATCCTTGGCAGAACCCGGGGGAGTGTCCGGATCACAAGCCCTACGACACCTCGGTCAGCTCCGAGTAGTGGCGAAGGACCCTTCAGCGGAAGACGTTAAATCCAATCTCGAAGGAGGCCTTGACGTACTCGTCCATTTGCAGTTTCATCTCTTCCAACACCTTGTACCGGTCAACTGCCTCCTCGGTAGCCTCTTGCCTAAGCCTTTCCCGCTCTGCCTTAAGTTCAACGATCTCTTGCTTCAGCCCCCGGACAATACTGGCTTGCTTGACCATCTACGCCTTTAGCTCGACCACCTCCCTTTCTAGCACGGTTGTCCGCTCCCCGACAGCCTGAAGCTCAGCCAGTTGGGCCTTTTGCCGTAGATACTCGGAGTGTTCTCGCTCGTACATTGATCGAATGTCCCGGAGGTGATCGACCAACATGACCGCTACACAAGAAGAGAATGATGAGTATATGCCCAAAAAAAAAAAGAAAGGAACTCACTTGGGCAGTAGACCGCAGAAGCACGCACTCTAAGGCTCCGCAGCCGACCCCGACCGATGCCTGAGCCATCAACATAGTCATAATCCCTCGCAACAACTACTCAGGAACCCCAAGCATCTCCAAGTCATCATCAACACGAACCAACCCACCGCGACATGTGCACGCCCGAGCTACTGCCACCCATTTCTGTCCCCGACGCACCCGTAGGACGATGAACCCCTTCAGGGTCAACCACGACAACATCGTCCTCCTCAGCCTCCCGCCGTCGAACTCTCCTTTGCATGAATCGCCCTATCCATGGATCGTGGCTGGTCCACTGCCTCGGACTAAGCCTCCAGTTGCGTACTAGCTCGCCTCTGCCTCTGCTGAAGTGCCCTCATTCGACGAATAATCTCTTCTTCATTGGCCATCCTTATACCTGCAACACAGAATGCCCAAGATAAGTAGAAAGCAAACAAGGGAATAGTGAATTAGCAAACAAACAGTAAAAGAAACAGATYGACCACCCTCTCCATCAACCCAGCAAGCATGTGTACGCAATAACATTTATCTCATGGATCATGCTCAGGGCCGACCTCTCCTCCCAAATAATCTTCATCCACTCGGGCTGTGACACAGTTGTCCTCGACTCCCATAGTTCGGCCGGAAAAGGGAGACCCCCGGGAATGCGCACGAAGAAAAACGACTCCTTCTAGTGCTTCACAGAAAAAGGAGCCCCGACCAATGACCGAACATTCCGCCTATTGGAAAAATAGTGTTGCCCTGCTGATGATGCTTCAGCTGAAGCATAAAGCTCACCATCCCCAGGGTCAGCTCGATATCACGAACTACATAGTAGGACATGAGGCCGAGCAAGAACCTGAAGGAGTTCAGCATTAACTGCACCAGCAACACCCTATACCAACCTAATACCTTGGTGACCCCCTCGTTCAATGGGAACCTTAGCCCAGCCTCAAAGTTATGCTCGTACACACATATCTCACCGGGCTGAGCATCAATGGCCATTTTGCTCGGATTCGAGCCATATCCCCGGGTGCCAAGACTCAGGGCATGGTGCCAAACCGACGACCTGCTCGCAGGGGAGTTTTGCCTCCGTCCCAAAAGGGTCAGCCTCAGCCTCCTCGACTTTGGCGGTCACGAAATCCCCCAGCTCAGGCTCATAGTTGGAGCCATGGGAAGAGCTGGAATCGGAACCACTACTAGAGGACCCAGAAGAGGAAGAGGATCAACGGGATAAGGAAGACATACCAAGCCGAGGAAGGAAAAACCGCCGAGCAACCACTACTAAGCAATCACACCACACTCCGCCAAGCAATGCAATTTACCTTCCTCGCAAATGACATAGAGGGGGGGCCCCTTTTCTTTTATAGCCACTAGGAGCACGAATTGAGGAGAGATCAACGGTATAGATGAAGCACCACTAATCGATGCGACCGATAATGCACGCGCGAAGCATCGAAAACCGAAGTGACAACCCTGACATGCAATGGTTACGACCATTAAATGCGCCGGCTCGACCCTCAATGCTGGTCCAACCACCAACGCGGATCCCTGATGGGGCCGCCCAAGAATGCCGGCCCAGCTAGGATGCCTAACACTGATCGGAACCGAGCCCCCACGCCAGACAAGGCTACACGGCTGTGCAATAGTCTGGCCGAGCTTTCCCCCTCCTTGACAGCAGAATTGGGGGAGTAGTTTGGGAACCGAAATTTTGGTTCTTACTTAAGTTCTACAGCCGACGATCGGAGGATTCCTTGGAAATGACCAACATTGCGTGGATAGTGGAAGGACCAGACAACAGCTCGGATGTTCCTCAACCGAGTAACGAACTAGGAGAACCTCGTCCCTCAACTTTAGAACTGGGGGAGTGGTGTTGGGGTCATGGTTGAGCTAGCCCTGAGAGACACGTGGTGCCCAGTCATCACCCAGCCACGTCGGCATAACTCGGCCACGACGGGTCGGCTCAGCCGAGCTATGTTATTACCTTGGCCCCCCGTCTCATCCCTCCATCCACGTCAGCTACATGCCCCACAGATAAGCTCAACCGCGGATAAGGGGGTGGGAAGACAACTCCGCCGAGGAGTAGGACTCTACCCCGGTAACCTCGGTGGAGAGCTCCATCCTGATCTCCCCAAAAGCCTAATCCGACTAGGAGACGAAACTCCAGTTATAAAAAGGTGTTCCATGCTCAAGGTAAGGGATCCCAACTTGTAGCACCCATACCGTTACTTTGCTCGGACCAGCACCCTCATTGCTCGACCCGACCATTCACCATCCTCTCACTAACTAATCAAATCCATATATAAATAATTCTAATAACATAAAAACTTGTACTTTTGAAATTGACTTGGAAAAGTAGTATTTTTATGTAATGGTAAGAAATTAAACAATTTTGGGTCAAATAGGTCAACCCATGTCACATTGTTGCCAAAGTTAAATAATAAAAAAAGTTAAACTTGATAAAATGCAAAAAATATAGAAAAGAAAGAAAATTTTGGGAACATCTTTAATATCATATATTCATCATATTAGACAAAAATAAGTATGATAAATAAGAAATCAGTTTATTAATGATGGAAATGGAATATGAAATTTAAAATCAATTGGGAATAAAATTATTTTCCTATTCTCTCTCATTGAGTCTCATATTTGAGGCATATTCTCTCATTAAATCCTATATTTTAGATATATTTTTCTCATCATTAAATTCTATTAATTAAATCCACAACATTGATTTAAATAGCATAGAAATCAATAATTTGAAAATAAAACCATTTTATTCCCTCCTGATAGTGGGTAAGCAATTCAACCATTGGTCAAATAAGGCATATAAATATATATATAAATATATATATATATATATATATATATATATATATATATATATATATATGTTACTATCTAGTATTATTGTTAGTAGATCCGATTAGACTCCATCATAGGCCTTGTTATTTTTATTGATAAATTACTTATCTGGATAAGTGCTTCTTAGTTAAGTATAATTACCACTGTTCTTTTCTATTGAAATTTACCCAAATAATTTTTTTTCCGTTACTTATATTTATAACTTTTTTTTTTAAAAAGCTTGTTCAATGGACATTTTTGTTCATTAATTTTGATAACTTTCCTTCTTGCGAGAAGGGTAAGATTTTTTGTTACTAAAAACCTTATTTGGGGAAAGTTCGTTTTCCTGGGTCTTACATCTACCAATAAAAGAACACGACATTGGTTAACTTTCAGTAAATCATACATTTCCCGTTGACAAATCCCCACATACTTAGTAGTAAAGAGGCCTTATTGTCACGACTTTGCTTTTAGGTTGTTTAACAAGTAATTAATGAAGGATTTGCTATATTAGATATTAGATTTCCAAAAAAAAAAAGACCTTAATTTGCTTTCCAACCAAATTATCATCATCGGGATGATAATGACATAAACCTTTCTCTTACCAACCGGGCCTGCCTAAGTGACAAAAACCTCCCCTCTTTAGGCTTAGTTCATTTTTCGGGAAATTGGAGGCGAAAGCTGGTTACAATGTTTTTTTTTTTTGGATAAGTTCAAGACTCCACGGTAAAGTTAATTTTCTTGGGAACCACTTGCCGAAATAAGTGATATCTATCTTTTAAATGGATAAATAATTTTTCTATATAAGAAAAAGTTTACAAAATATAATGGAACAAATTTATCCATCCTAATATTGACTTTTTATAAATAAAAAAGTCATTATAGAAGTTATTCAGGAATCAAAAGAACATAGAATAGATAAATTTATCCAGATGAATATTTTTTAACAAATATTTACCTAAATGACCTTTTGAAAAACATATACAACTATGAATGAATAATAGTAATTGTAAGACCCAAGGTGGCTTATATGGATGATATAGTAATAGACCACAGGATTTAACATGTGAACAGCCCACATATACGGTTTACAGGTGGATTAGAAATGCTTCCAAGGATGGAGCAATAACTTATACACGAAAAAAAGGGCATGCCAAGCATTCGAAAAGTAAATGCGTCAATGCCAATACAATGGATTTTTTTTTTTTTCTTTTTACAATCTTTAACAGAGGAAGTAGAAAATAAAAAACGTTTTTCAGATTCTCACAGGAAGTGCGGAATTTACCTTTGTTAAGAAAAACGTTTAGCTTGGAGTGGAGTCAATTGCCATTTTAAAATGCTTTTGTTGCCATCAAGATTCCTCTATAAAAATGAAAATCTTCTCATGCTTGTAATTTAGGGCAAACTGTGTTACTAGGATTTGCCATAGAACCTGCAGAGATGGTTTATAGTTAGACTTTGAAAACCTTCTGGCTATTATTATTATTATTATTTAAATGTATACTATCCTTACTAGGACTTACATATGTTTGCATAACAAGGCTGTTTTGAGACTGGGTCCTCTTCAAAAGGAGGTGGTACTTGGCCATACACCATGTCACAGCTCATATCTTCAAAATCTACCAAAAGAAAGGATCAGATTAGAGAATACCTATTAAAGGTGGCTAAAATAAAATAAATAAAATATAAACAACAAAATCTGATCAGTAGAAATGAACTAAAATAGATAAAAGCATGAAAGAAATACATTTTACAAAAAAAAAAAAAAAACAATTGAGAGAATATACCTAATTAATCTCTGGAAATTCATGTCTAAAAATCTTATACAAAGCAATCTGCGGAAACAAAAAGGGGCATACTTGGGTTCATGGTTAAGGGAAGCCCAAATTCATTGGTGAAGAAATCTTGAGTTGGAACCTTGCACATGTTCACACACATTCCGACGCAACCACTATTCTCCAAGTACCTTAAACCAACATAAAAGGGGAGATAGAAAATCAATATTTGCATAATAATAACACTCATTAGGGAGCATAAATCATTTAAGAAGCAAAAGAACAGTATTTCCCAACTCAACTAGAGGAAGGAATTATAGTAGATTTGAATCATAAGTGGCTATTTCATGGATCAATGCTAGAGATAAATCCACATTGGTCACGTCATCAGTTAGATAACAACAATGATTTGTTATCCGTGGACTTATCAACCCCAGATAACAATTATCTTGTTATCAATTTATGATAATCATTATCCTGTTGTGCTTATCATTTTATCTGTACATTTAACTTTTTGAATTTTAAATTTTGTATCTTCACCTATATAAACCTCTGTAATCTCTGTAATTTATTAAATGAGAATTCACCATTTTCATTGACTCTCGCATGGTATCAGAGCCCTAGAAGACTAACGTCATGTCTGCTCAAAGTTCTTCGATCAACTTTCAAGGTGGGTCCTCTTCCAAAAATAATGGATTGATTACTCTGTCCAGTTTCATGAATGTTATCACAGTTCGCTTAGATAGATACAACTATCTCTTATGGTCTGTGCAAATTCTCCCTACACTCAATGGGTCATTGGATATGTCGATGGATCACTACCATGTCCATCAAAATTTCTTCCTGGCACCAATGATCAACAGATCAACCCCAAATTCATCTCCCGGTATGAACAGGATTAGCTCATATTGAGCTGACTTCTTTCTTCTCTCAAAGAGCATGTTCTTGCTCAAGTGTAGGATGCAAAACTTCTAAGGAAGTATGGGACCAGTTCAGCCGTTTATTTTCTTCCACTTCCAGGATCCATGATTTGAAGTTGGAGTTAGCACATATTAAAAAAGGCGACCTGTCAGTTGCATATTACATTCAAAAAATCAAAGGGATTTCTAATGCTCTTGCTGCTTCTAATTACTTTATATCAGATTTAGATCTTATTCATTATCTTCTCGGTGGTTTGCCGCCAGAATATGACACTTTTGTTATCATAATTACTGCTCGTTTGGATTATTTGACCATGCTAGATGTGCAGAGTTTACTTCTTACTTTTGAGAAGTGCTTAGCTTGTCATGCTATTTCTATTGATTTTTCCTCTACTAATGTTGCAAGAAAGAAAGAGGGGGAATACCTCTGGACACTCATAGCAGCATTATTCAAATAAATCTCGACAATTTTCTTCTTCGGACAACAAGAAACATCCCAACAATGGTTCTAAATGACCCAGTGGTAAGGATACTTTTGTTGTTTGATAGATTTGTGGATATGTTGGACACACTGTTACCACTTGCAGGAAATATCTAGAGCTTCTAGGGATGAAGAAAATTTCCAACAAGAACGCCAATGTAGCTTCTCACACTACCTCTTCTATAGGGTCTTCTTGTAACTCAATCTGGTATCCGGATTCTAGTGCCACGAATCACCTTATTGCAGATCTCAATAATTTGTCTTTACATAATCTATACACTGGTTTTGAGGAAATAATTGTTGGTAATTGTATGCATTTACATATCTCTCACATTGGTTCTTCCACTATTCACACATCCTCTAGATCCTTTGATTTACATAATATAGTGCATGTACCTTAGGTCACTAGGAATCTATTGTCAGTGAGCCAATTCTACAAGGATAATGATGTAGTATTTATATTTGATGCTTGTGGTTTTCTTGTAAAGGATCAGATGACGGGGAAGACTCTCTTCAAAGGACCAATTAAAGATGGCTTATACAAGGTGCAATCAATTTCTTCTAGCAGTCCTGTAGCTTTGATTGGAGAGCGCACCTCCAAGGATGTTTGGCATTTGCGTTTGGCCCGTGGGCTTGGTTCACCAGGCTTCGAGATTATCTTCTCACCTTGGGTTTCATTGAATCATGGGCTGATTCCTCTCTTTTTCTTCGACGTACCAAAGGAGAAACTCTTATTCTCCTAGTTTATGTCGACGACATTCTGATTACAGGCTCCAGTTCTGCTTCTATTTCATCTCTTATTGCTGATTTATCATCTCAGTTCGCCTTGAGGGATCTTGGCCCAGTACACTACTTCTTGGGAGTTGAGTTGACCCGCTCTTCTTTTGGTATTCATTTGTCACAGCATAAGTATATATCAGATTTGTTAATACGTGCTCAGATGCATGAAGCCAAACTGGCCCCTACCCTAATGTTTGCCAACACTAGGCTCGACTCCTCACAGGGTGAATCTCTCTCTGACCCTTCTTTCTACAGGAGCATTGTTGGTGCGCTCCAATATGTGACATTAACTCGCCTAGACATTTGTTTTTCTGTAAACAAAGTATGCCAGTTCCTTAAAGCTTCCACCACCGTTCACTGGGCGGCAGTCAAGCGAATGCTTCGCTATTTGAAGGGTACTATAACACATGGACTATCTCTTCTTTTGTCCAAAACTCTCACTCTCACTGCCTTTGCTGATGCTGATTGGGCAAGCTACCCCGTTGATAGATGGTCTCAAAGTGGTTATTCTATATTTTTGGGCCCCAATCTTGTGTGTTGGAGCTCGAAGAAGCAATCTATTGTCTCTAGGTCAAGTATAGAAGCAGAGTATCGGTGCCTTGCCTCAACTGCTGCAGAACTCTCTTGGATCACCATGCTCCTCTTTGAACTTGGCATTCAGCTCTCTCCTGCTACTATCTGGTGCGATAATATGAGTGCGAAGAACTGATCTCCATACATTACGTGCCCAGCAGTGATCAGCTCGCTGACTTGCTCACTAAACCGCTTCCCTCTACACGGTTTCTTCATCTCAAAAGCAAGCTGACCATTGGTCCATCCTTGTCCAACTTGAGGGGGGATGCTAGAGATAAATCCACACTGGCCATGTCATCAGTTAGATAACAACAATAATTCATTATTGTGGACTTTTCAACCCTGGATAACAATTATCTTGCTATCAACTTATGATAATCATCATCCTGTTGTAATTATCATTTTATCTGTACATTTAATTTTTGAATTTTAAATTCTGTATATAAACCTAGTAATCTCTGCAATTTATTAAACGAGAATTCGCGACTTTCATTGACTCTCGCAATCAGATGGACATATTTTGATTGCATGTGAGTTTTGAGCAATGATGGTGCAAGTGAAAAGAACCTATAATAATAACAAAAGAAAAAAAAAATCAAACAATTATAGTTCCCCCTTGCAATACCGGTCATTCTATAACTTATCAGAGAAGAAATCATTCTACCTGCATTTCTTTATATGGACTCCGCTTCTTTGCTTCACCCCATTTACCTCCACTTCCACAACCTAGAAGATATTTATAGCTTAAAAAATAGTATACAACCATGAATATTAGAAATGGAAGCAAAAATTACTCCAAAAGTCTAGACCAGGCCAATATCTTTCCAGCTTCTGAATTATGTCTTTCCCTCAAGTTTTCTCTAATAAACATTAAGTGAATAGGAGGCAATATGCTTTTAATGGGTTGATCAAGTAAGAAAAATACGAGCATGTGAGAGAAGGCTGATATGACCGTGGAACATCGTGAATCGATCAGTAGTGTAAGAGATGAAAGGAATAGTTTAAGGATAACTGCACTAGTCAAATTATGCGTTGAGTGCAAAATTAAGTACGTACCTCAGAAGGCCCAACTAACCAGTGAAAGAATGGTACTGTCAATGCGGCATTGAACTCAGCAGCCCACTTGGTTGGCGGAAATAATTTTCGAAACTGCAACAATACCCACCACAATATCATTCGTCATTTATTTGTTCATTGTGGAGGGATGAAGCTAGGCATAATTTCTTCTTAGTTCCCAACCCCAAGTCGATGATTATGTTTTCAAACCGGCTCTGGCTGGAATCTGGACCCTCTCCCGGGCTCAGCCCTACCTCATCTCCTCGTCTTGTCTATCTAATTTTGAATTGGGTTCAAGTTGGGATTGGCATTTAATTCTTAACATACCATTACCGTATCAGTCGGTTCAACCGACACCAGCCCTGCCCATTTCAGTAAACTTCCGAAGAAACTCAGATGGGCACAGTCAGAGCGTATAACAAACAGTGAGACAGAGTGAACTCCAGAGTCTGGAGCAGAGATTAAGAAAGAAGTGAAGGGGAGGAGAGGAGAGGAGAGGTGTCAAGAATAAAGAGACAGAACAGAAGAACCAACCTGAGCGGGGGCACCGGGAGGGAGCATAGACAAGAGAACCTCCCTGACCACTTGTTGCTGTTGCTTACGAGACCTTCCTTGCATTACCCTCTTCGAGACGTTTACAAAGCTCTCGTAGTCGTAATCCCAAAAGCCATTGCTTTTGCTTTGATTGGAAGACGAAGAGGAAGCAAATTTCTCCATCTTGCGGGCGAACAGGGCCATAAATGCCTTCTCCAAGAATCCATCTCTATATTGCGTCTTCTGACCCAGAGGAGCCGGCTCCCCCGATGGTTCCGCAATTCCACATCGGAGAACGTAACCACTGCTTCGTCTCCCTCTACGAATCAAACTATCATTTCCATGAGGCGGACACACAAGGGGTTGCAGACTCAGTACCACCATGAATAAATTCTCTTTCTTATTGTTGATTATAAAGAAAATTTTCAAAAAAAAAAAAAATCAAATCCCAACAAAGAACAGAGAAGAAAGGCTCGTTAGAGGCGAATGAGTTGCTGGTACTGGCTCTGGCTTTGTCTATCTGTGTTGTGTAGCTACTGCCATGCATGCTCCACTCTTACATAATTTCTCACTGACAAATTATGACCATAGCTTGCCTTTTTTTTCCTTCTATGCTTTCTTATTTTCATATATTTCTTTTCTAAATATCTTCATTATTACATATTCAAGAAATGGCAAAGATAACCCTTTACTTCTTTGAGGTTCGAACTTGGAAGATGGGAGATTCTTCTGCGGTATCGATTTTCCAGGGTTAAATTATGAAACTTTCAAACTAAAGACTGAATTATCAGGACCTCATTAATGCATCCAAATAATACTTGCTGAATGGATTTCTACCACACAAGTCATCAGGTGGTTTTGAGGCCGAATAGATGCCACGATTCTCCCCGCCTTCTCTCTCTGTTAGAGCGTGTAATGAATGGATGAAAGTTTTTCTCTTTTCTTTTTTTTTTCACAAAAAGCTTGTATATAAATAAATAACGGAGCAGGGGATCAATTTCAAAAAAGCATATGAAGCTATCAGCCGTCCGCCAGAAAAAAAAAACGATTATCAGAAAGGAAAAAAACTAATAGCTGCATATTATTATTAAATAAAATTAAAGATCGTAGTCGCCTTGGATTGTACGAACCACGCATTCAGAAAAATTACACACAATGATAAATCAATTATCGTTACCATCTACTGATAATAAACCAAGCGGCAGAGCAGAGCACTTTGTTTTTTTTTTTTCATTCTCCTTATTTTTCACAAATAAACATAACGTATTTTATTTTAATAGATAATTTTTATTAATAAGAAATAAATAAATGAATGAACAATCCATTCCTTCAACAGGCAACAGTGAAGAATAAGATTGAATCAATATCAGTCCTTCCAAGTTTCAAGATCAAGCCAGGTAACAAACCCTAGAAGCTTGCTTTATCTTCTCGTATTGTGTGTATTTGGACTATTGGAGTCAAATGCCGCCGGAAGCGCCTTGCTGAAGCTCTTGGAGACGCCTTTCCAAGTCATCCAAGCGAACACCCCAATCCCCATTTATGCGCAACGGTCGAACGTTGCTGTAATCCGTAGTATCATCCGCCATTCCTTGTCTTCCACTATTGTTCCATGTTGATCCTTTGCGCCTCCTGCTTCCTGTACCAGCCCTTTTCCCTTTTTGACTCTGAGCCATCGCAGCTCTCTGCAAAGCGAACAACACATCTGAGCCGCTTAGAGCCCTTTTACCCTGTCCTCCCACGCTCCTCCTCTCTTCTTCTTGAGGTGGTCGTCTTGAATCCGAAGAAGAAATTGCAAACGGTGATGATGGATCACCACGACAACCAAGAGAAGTGAACGCTGCTTGGCCTACACCTCCAATATGAACTGCGGAGCCTTGCCATATCCTCAGCTGTTGCTTGGTGGACGCGAGGACACCCCAGTTGATGAGCTTGTAGTTCTTTTTCAGGGCGATAGAAGCAACAAAGCAAGGTATTGCTGGTGGTGATGCTGCCGCACCTACGACCCCGACCAGCATTTTGTTCGGTTCCCTACTTCCAACTCGTAATAACCAGAGAGATCTTTGTCAATTGTCCCTCCCCTTAACAAATACAAAATACTTACTGACCCTCTCTCCAGCAGTCCAGTTCCCACAAGGCCACAAGAGCCGCAAACATTGTGCGATTGTCTGATACGAATCCCCATTAAGGGTGACCCGAATTTGATCCGTTTATAATTGGTTTTGTGGTTTTAGTCTTTCCAAATTTGATTCGACCTGACTTTTGTTATCTCATACTCTTAGCTTCCCCTGTTCTCCATGTCATGCAAATATTGGATGGTAAATTAATTAAGCACATCGGGTCAAGAACCCAAATTAAGTTGTTAAATACATAATTTATTGGGCTGTAACATTTTATTATCAATTAAGGATTTTTTTTGAAGCCTCAAAGTAATTTTCATAAGGCTCTGTTTGAAAGGAATACAAATGCAAATTTATATTGTAAATACATATAAAATAATACAAAATACAAGGTTTTACACTTACAAATTTGCATTTGTACTCCTTCCAAACTGAGACTAAGGGAAAATATCTTAAACTATCCCGGAATTGACTAACTATACTCCTACTATTTTGATATTGTCTTAAAGTATCCCTATTGTTTCTAACAATTGAATACCTGTACTTTTACCGTTATCATCCATTAATATTTTCATCAAATTCCATACACATAATACCACATGATGTATAATTTTTCTAAAACCCAATTTTACCCTTCTCTCTCTCTCTCCTTCCCATTTGTTCTCTTTCCCCTGTTTCATCATCTCCACCTTCGGCCCCTCTCTCACTCACTTGGAAAAAGTGCTTAGATCTGTGGGAGGTTGAAGCGCTTTCCAAGATCGGCAGAAGATTGGGTACCCAGATCTGTTGAGTATCTCTCAGATCTACAATGAACCCAGATATGAGATCTGAGAGATACTCAGATCTATCGTCGTTGGCTAGAGCAAGGGTTTCCCTATAATTCAAGAAATCACAGGCGGTAGGATGCCATTGGACGTCTTCCGTAGCAAAATTGAATTTATAGTGGTGGAGCTTGCTTGGTGAGAGTGGACTAGCAGATGCTATCGGCGAGGAACTTGGAAAAATCGACACCAATCTCCTTGAGTTCTATAGTGGGAAGGTGTGCGTCTCTCCTGCAGCAAAAAAATGAATTTACAATGATAGAGCTTGCTTGGGGATTGTTTGGTAAGAGTAGACTGGCAGATGCCGTCGGTGGGGAAATCGGAAAAATCATTGCCAATCTCCTTGAAAAGATCCGCTACCAGAAGCAATAGTATTGTCAGCGGTAAAGGCTTGTATTTTATTTTTCCTTGGCTCTAGTTTCAAGTGCAATACTAAGATAGAGTTGTTTGTGTTTGCAGCAACGGCATCCAGACAAATGGACAAAAACGGTATCAACCAGTATTAATGGTGAAGAGCAAGACGAGGACATGGGCATACCAGTATTAGCCAATATTAATGAAGATTTTTTCAGACCCATGAGATTTCAAGGCTGATCGATCCTTAGCATTTATCAAAACCAAAGAGCTTGAAGATCACCGGCAATGTCTTCTATTGAACCAGGAGTTTGAGTTTTTTGAGTGGTGGGCAAAATAGTCCTTTTAATCTTTCCGTTAATGAACACTGATGGTAAGGGTACAGTTAGTCAATTGTTAGAAACAATAGAGGTACTTTAAGACAATAGTAGGAGTATAATTAGTTAAGAAATTTGCCCTTTTCATAAATGTTCAGATCACAAAAAAAAAGCATAAATAGTAATAAAAGTAAAAAATAAAAACTTTAAAATACAAACCAAACTTGCTTAGCATATGTAACAAGAACACAAGGACAAATGTGTCTCCAAAAAATAGCATGACCAACATTTCAATTAGGGCAAAAAGGTTGAAAGGTTCCAAATAGTATAGTTCAAAGGTTCCAAAAAGGTTGAAAGGATTAATGTTGTATGGAGCTCTTCCAAAGGATTAATGCTGATAGAATGGCCAATTTCTCTTAATAGCCATGAGATAACAAGTAGTCCTAAGACTATAACTTCTAATTTCGAGATAACAAGTAGCCCTGAGATAAGAGAACAGAGAGCCAACCAGGGAGGAATATCAGGGGAGCAGGCATGAGAAGAGATTGGCGCAATTGTTGGTGGGTTTTAGAATCCTCTGTACTGGGAAGAGATGAGAGAACAGAGAGGAATGAAAGAAATAAAGAAAAGGGAAGTAGTCAAACAAGGAGGATCACCGTCGATTGCTAAAGTCATCGTCGTAGTTGCCGTTGCTGGTGAGAAAGATCACTGCCAGCAAAGTGATAAGAGGAAAGTACAGGCACAAGGGTTTTGGGGACGTTTCAGGCGGGAGATTAAAATGGGGATAGATGAAATTTTGTTTGAAGAACTAATAGGATGGATCAAACATCCGTCCCATTAATTCACATATGAGAGAAAAGAAAGCATGTGTGGGGACAGGTGTCTTTATTTGAGGTTGTTAATAGGTGGTTGGTTGAGGTTGTGTTGGTAGAAGATTCAGACTCATCAAGCGGACCCTAATACATATAACAAGAATACCCTGTTAGAGGAGAATTACATTTTCTATGTGCACATGGATTTAATGGATAAAATGGAGTGTTAAAATTCTAAGCAATCTTGTCAGACTTGATCGGAATAGATAGTTGAACCTCTGGTGAGCTTTCTGGTTTTTAGAAATGATGCTTATTTGATCTGCCATTGACCATCTGTCCAAGATGGGTTGCATTTGTCATTAATTATTTTCAAGGACTTATCTCGGTTTAAATTGAGCTAATCAAGTCGGTTCATGAAAACCTTGATTCAGCTTGGTTTAAATTGGGCTTTTGGCCAATTCAAGCTTGAGTCCAATGAAACTTATAAGTTTAATTGAGCTCAAGGTTTAAAATATTGATACGTATCGAGCCATATCAGAGGTTTCTTGATACATCCCTACAGGGGGTGTTTCGAGGTCTCGACCAGTTTAGATGGTAGACAGACCTTAAACTGTCTCATCTGAACTAGATTAAAAAAGCTAAAAAAAAAAAAAAAGCTACTGATGTTGCTTGATATGCCCCTATCGACGTATCAGGCGTATCTATATTTTGAAACTTGATTGAGCTTATTCTTTTTTTTTATAGCCCCAAACTTTACTTGAGGTGAAGGGGCAACCACCTTAAAATGCATGTAGTATTTTTTAGTTTTTATATGTATAATAATAAATAATTTTTATATGTATACTCTTTATTTTTATATGAATCTTGGCTCACTTCAAGTTTAAGCGAAACTGAATTCAAATATATGAGCTTTTGAGTCCAGCCAAATTCAAGTTTATGTTTATAACTTGAAGTGAGCTCTAATGAAATCGGCTCAGCTCGAATCCAGTCTAGAAGTATTATTTCGACTTAGCTAGGTTTGACTCGGCTCGGCTCCATGGAAGCATTGTTTTCCAAGGCCTGAATACAGGTAGGCAAGGAATGGAAGTATCGTTTTCCAAGGCTTGAATACAGGTAAGCAAGGATTTAAATATCGATATGTATCGTGTTGGTATCGGATAAGGGGATACGGGAAACGTTACAACTAAATCCATATCCCCTAAATCGTGTGTATATCGTATCGGCCGATACGTGTTGATACAATACGATGCTAATTGCTTTCTGAAAAATGCACCCTAAACGCTACTCTAAAGCCGTCAAGCCAACTTTTGTTTTGTAACAAATAATGAAATACAATAACTTTTATCTAAACATAAAATGTAATTCAAATAAATAATATATCTATTCAACAACTTCAACTAAAGATGAAAAAAATAATATTAAAAATTATTACTTTGTAAATTAATAGAATAAATTATAAATTCACATTTATATCAAAAGTGGTTTTAATGTCAAGAAATTTATACAAATAAAAATATTAATAATAGAACAATTATCTTAATACTTAAAATTTATAAATTTGAACATGATGTGCATTTTAAAATTTTTATCTTAATTTAAATATTTATAAATTGACCGAAGTTAATTAAGTTCACTCCACTTAATTTTATTTAATGTATTAGCTTTATTTAACTAATTTTAATTATCTTTTATTTAACTTAATTTATACTTTTTTATATCTCCAATCATCACAATAAATATCAATTTATAACAAAGGCCGTGTATCAAAGGCTTTTCCATCACTAGAAAATCCTGATGTTTTGTAAATTTTCCCATACGTTAATGAGTTGGGCCGAGTGGCAGCTTCTTGAGGTTTCAGAAGCATTGTCATAGACTCATAGCAGCTAGATTTCTCAGGTTCCTTCTTTGTGGGCGGCTATGGAACTTAGAAGCGCTCATTTTTTTGGGTGGTAGTACCATTGCTATTTCTATTTGTAGGTTCTAGGTTGGTTAATACAAGTTTTATGAAAATATATCTTTTTATATCACAAATGCTTTGAGTTATCAATAGGGGTGCAAGTCGGGTAGGTTGGGTCGGATTTGGATTATGGTCAATCCGAGCTCGACCCTAAAATTTGAGCTTAAAGTCCAAGTCTGAGGTCAAACCCGATTTTCCCAATCCGAGCCCAGCCCACATTGTAATTTGATGAATTCGGGTTGGGTTTAGGCCCGGGCCGGGCTTGGGTTGGTCAATGTACCCACTCTAAAAGTATACATATATGTATTTATGCAAATATGTATACATATATTTATGTATATATGTATGCATTATAGTTGGGCCAGACTCGGGCAGGGTTTGGACTACCTAAGGGCTAGGCCCAGGCCCAGTTCGAGAACCAAAAATCCAAGCCCAGTCCGTGTAAAATTTCAGGCTGGGCCGGTTCGGTTTTGAGTTGGGCCCGCCCAAGTTGCACCCCTAGTTATCAATACAATATTTGGTACCATTGTTGTTTCTCGAGGAAACATCAAATTTAGCATATGTTTGGCATCGATGCTGCAAATGCAGCACCGTTTTGAAAACGATACTGCTGATGTGTGGTTGGAAGTATCGTTTTCTTAGAAAATGGTGCCTATATTTTTGTTTGGAAACGTTGCTGCCAAGTAGGACGTTTTTTGAAGCAATAGCAACTTTTTTTTGTTTGGTACCATTGCTCCAGGAAATGTTTTCAGCACTGGTACCTATTATCCTGTGCCACATCACTGCCCTGTTGATAGCAACGAGTTGCAGCTCCAGGAAACGCCAAATTTGGCGTTGCTCCAAGSCATGGCTTCCCGATTTCCAAGGCATGGCTTGGAGCACCGTTTTTTATGGAAAAGCGTTTCCAAACAAATGCTCGTTTCTTGGAACACCGTTTTTTCTTATGTGGCACTGATGTGGCACCATTGCTTCAAGAAACAACAATGATGCCAAACAGCCACTTAGTTTTTCTACTATAAATGCCAACACCCAATCTAATGCCTATATGTTTTTAGTAGAAATGGTTATCTAATGTGGTGTGATAAGACAACTTATTAAACTTTTGTATTGACCAACTTAAGAGGGCGTTCTTTTTTCAGATTTTGAGAGGATTGAAAGTTAGTCAATGGGATTTTTGTTCCCATTGACCAAGAATCTCATGTTCTTTTTTCATATTTATGTGGGGACTAGGGAAAGTTTATTTTCCTAGGTAAGTGGTACTAGGAATGTTCACAGGTCGGGTTGGGTCGGTTTATTGGGGTTTTCCCAACTGACCCGACCTGGTTGGGTTACCTGAGGTGGAAACCGAAACCGACCCACTGAAGGCCAAACTGACCTGGTCGGTTTGAGTCGGGTTGGATCGGTTTCGGTTTTGCTTCTGTACAAAAGGACACTTAATTGAATTCTAATTGTAATTGCCTAATGGGTTGCCTATTTGGTGTAAAAGATTATAGAAAGTTAGAAACTATGATAGATTGCCTATTCTAATTGTAATTACCTGATGGGCCTTCTAGTTCTAGTAGAAGACTAGTTATAGTTAAGTAGGAAACTACTCAAACTAAGAACTACCGAACTAGTAGAAGACTAGTTCGGTTCGGGTCGGGTTGGTTTCGGTTTTCACACAAGAAAACCGAAACCGACCCGATATATCGGTTTATATATTTGCCCAACCCGAAACCGATCGGTAATGATGAAAACCCGGCCGACTCGGGTTGGGTCGGTCCGGGTTGGTCGGTTTGGTCGGGTTGGGCATTCTTATGAACAGCCCTAAGTGGTACCCATCTCCTAGGTGGGTAAATAACTTTCCCACCTAGGGGGAAAGTTGCCAACACTTGAATGGGACAAAAATGCCCTTTTTTAACAATGGATTTTTATGGCTAAAATGATCATTGCATTATTTACATGAAAAATGAAAGAACATGGGTAATGCACTTAACCAAGTAAGTATTTCCCATGAAAAACTTACCTAAGTAATTGCATTTACCTAGGTAAATAACTTACCGAAAAGCAAACGGGGCCTAAAAGCGAAAAGTAGAAATGGCAATGATACCAAATACAACCTTACTTTCCGCTGATAGATGAATATGCTCATATGACCTTGAATTCGTATGGCTAGACTTATTTATTTTCAATTGCATATCAAATATCCCAAAAGCTAAAGAGAAGATGTTATTCCTATTTGTATGGGCTCAGGCTACACGCCTGGAAATTACTGATTTTAAGGCGAAACAGTGCATCACAAAACGGGACGAGAAGGGGTAGGAGAAAGGCTAAGAAACGGGTGGGTGCATGCCATCATCTTCGCAGTCAGCATATAGGAATATAACTTATCAGAAAGATGATATTCGTATCTTTAACGAGGATTCTGAAAACCTTGGGCTCAGTTTGGAAAGAGTATAAATACAAATATGTACAGTGTAAATACATGCAAAACATAAGGTTTTATACTCTATATATTTGCATTTGTACTCCTTCCAAACTAAGCCTTGGTTCATTCCACCATTTTCCCAATGTAATCAGCAGCATGTCAGCCTGGTTCTCGACGTTTGATTCATTTGACCAAGTAGAGAGATTGGCTTTGGTCAATGCAACACCCATTGGGAACAGCCTTGAAAGAGGCTGTTCAAACGGGCTTGCACTGGCCAAAGCTGAACTCCAAATGAAATCAGCTTTAGTGCTCACAAGATCATGCTCATATTATTTGCACAGTCCCTTGCAGCCTTACATTGAGAATTAGAGATGGCAATTTTCCCCATCCCCCATGGGAACCCGACTTCCCCGACCCTATGGGATAAAGGATGGGGATTGTTTTGGCGGGGCGGGGACGGGGATGGGGATTAATAGGAATCCCTGACCGGGGTCGGGGTTGGGGATGGGGATGGGGATTGAAGTCCCCGCCC